ATTTAGGATTGGGTTTCCAGTTCCTTCTAAAGTCTATTTCAACTCTATATGTCTAACATCTCCACCTGAACTCTGAAATTTTATTCACTAATTATACCTTGACCTCTTCAAGTCTAGAAATTGCTGTCTATCTTTCATGTTATATTGTTCTTTCTTATGCTAATACAACTTCACATAATAAACCTTTACCTTGAGTGGCCCTTGGGCCTTGTATTGGGTAAAAATTAATAAATATACTCGACTCCCCCATCAAATTTGACGTATGAGGGTCAAGCAGATCAGTTCCTAGGAATCGAGAGCTCAACACCAGCACATGAGATTTGATTATAGTGGTGAAGATTTTGTTCAGAAACGTCCACAATTTTTGAAGGGCTGAATACAGAGACCTGGTGCACTACATGCTACAAGGTCCCCAAACAACCCTCTGCAGGTTTGGATTCAAATTTGTTCTTCTCCTAGACCAGTTACCATCCAAGGCTATAGAACCCAGTCTCTCTTACTATTTACCCATAGCAGGAGGATTCATAACTTTTTCAAGGGTATTAGTATGGAAGTGAATGTAATGGATTTGACTGCAATTCGAACTTGGCTCTCCAATTCCTCAATTGGCACCACTATCCATTACCCCACTGTGCCTCTTCCTAGTGTGTGTGTTTATATATATATATATATATATATATATATATACTAGGAGGAGGCACAGTGGAGTAATGTATATATATATATATATATATATGTGTGTGTGTGTGTGTGTGTGTGTGTTCATGCATGTATTGTTATCTTCTTTTAGTTATCCTGTTTTAATTTTGAATTTTTGTTGAAAATACTGGGAACAAATCATCTACATATGGAGAGATTTTGATTTGATTTGTTTAATGGTATTTCAATTCCTCACGGGTCATTTATTGTCAAAATTTAATTTTCTTGGGAGCTTTGAAGTAATAAAAATAGGATATATGTTATTCAGCTTCCATATTTGAATACATGATAGATAATACTTATCTTTGGTTCATATACATCTTTGTGTCAACATAATTACTAAAAGGTGGTGATGTATGTGCTTTATGTTGTAGTTTTGTTGAAGTTATATTTTGGAATACAATTTGATTTCTTTGAGAAACTATAGGATATTTTATGGATTAATATCACGAAAAAGATTTTTCATGTTGATTGGTTGGTTTGTCAATACCGAAATCTAAATATTTTGAACACAATTTTATGGCTCCAACTGAATATATATTTAATGCAATTGTCTCCCTTGAACTGCAGTAAATGTATTGTTGGTCATTTTGCTATAAAATATATTGTTGGTCATTCTTTTATAGAAAAGTGTTTTGCTGGTATTTTTATACTTTCATAGTGTTTTATTTTTGTTTGGGGGCTTCACTATTTGCCTCTAGCTGGGTCCCTAACAGGTGCTACCACCGTAAGTCAAGGTTGACTTGGGGACAATTAATAGGTGGCTTCAATTCTCCTCAAAACCTCCAATTTCTTGATCAAAGGACTTGCTGCTGGAAATAGTTTATAGTCATACCCAGGGCTGCCTTGCAAATAAGGGTAAATTTATAATTGAATAAAATTTAATTGTATTTGATTTTTTTAAAGAATAAAGTTAATATGCAAAAACAGAAACTTAATAAATATGTAAATATTTATCAACTGTATAAACTTTCAGCATTTACAACTGATGGAATAATATTATGATAAACATTTCAGAAAAGACCGAGTAATGTTAGGGGAATAAAAAAATTCAGATAGCAAAATTAAATGAAGCCTTCAATATCCCAAGAGAACATGCTAATATAGAGATGAAAAAAAAATAGTTATTTTACTGAAAATAAAAAAAAAAAATACAAATCTGACATATGAGTTTGTTATTTTATAATGCATCGTGATTTTATAAATGGAGACTGAGAGAAGTTTGGGAGGGCCAAATCCCAGAGAAATAGGAGAGGTTCGATTAATATATGGCCTTGCTTATATGCTAATGTAATTTTGTGCTTTAAATATAAGTCTTCTTTCAAATATATTTAATTATAAGTACAATTCATGTGTTTATCCTGCTGTATTTGAAGGAAAAACAGTTTGAGAGACAGGTATCAGTAGTTTGACTTCAAGATACTCACAAACATATATATGTGTGTTTGTGTGAGTATAAGGGCAGTAATCCCTCTTTTATACAAGTTTCATTAAAGATGACTGACAAGGAAACTGTGACAAAGCTTATTATTTAAATTTATTGTTTTTGTATAAGTGTTTTCTTTTCTGGACACAAAGTGTGTAAAAAATTTCCAAAGTTCTGCAAGTCGAGGACTTTTGGCTATTCTTTCATTCATCATCAAAGATTACTTTTATGTAACCTTGTTTATAGCCAATATTATTGTGTATTAGCATTTTATTTTTAGTTTTAGTTCTTCCATTATTTTTAATCTTTTTTACATGTGTATTTTCTACTAATAGATTTCTGATGGGGTTTGGTCATTTTCAGTGTACCATATATACTCATGGATATTCACCCCACCGGATAGGTCGCACCCTACTATATGGCTTAATAATTGATGATTTACACACAGATAGGTTGCACCATAATCTTTGGAGTTACACAGCCCTTTTTAAACATAAGAATTATCTGATATCTACCTTTATTTCAAAATTTACTATTATTAATACAGTTAAAATACATTTCATCAATCATCATGTAAGCGAAAGGAAGTAACTGTTGTACCGGTATTTTTATATTTACCGCATATTATTTTTATATTGAGTCAACTCAACAAAAATATAAAGAACTACAGAAGAAAATTTTATGTTAGATTTAGAAAAAAAGTGTTTATCTATTTATATATCAAGTTACAGTTTTAAAATTCATTCAGAACAGAATCCCAAGAATTCTTCTTCACTATCATCACTGTCAAACATCATTCTTATTTGTTCATCAGTTAATAGGGCTCTGGTTCTAACTGAAAGTCTTGTTACAATAAGGCCGTTATTTCTTATGTCCACAAACAAATCATACAATTCTTTTTCCATATTTTAATATGGAGATACTGAATACTTTGCTGCTCTCTTTGATTTCGGCATTTCTTTAAGCTGATCTTTCTGCTTTCTCCATCCTCTGACAAACTTTTCTGAAACTCCAAACTGCCTTTCTGCTGATCAATTTCCATGTTCTTCTGCAGAATTTAGTACTTTTAATTCAAAACCTGTTTCATAATTCTTTCTTTTACTTATGATTAGGGTTTGCAACAATTAAAATTATAAACTATAAATTTGGCTACCAACTATATTTCTATGCAATGCAAAATAGTGCAAACGTTTTGGGTTTTAGATTCATGCACTTTGTTATTTATAAATGTTATATTGGAACACATCTATTCTATAGTTAATAGACTCTCCCACCTATAATAAGTAGGAGTAGTAAGAGTAACAAGTGAGGCGGTCAGTCAGTTGATTATTTGGCGACGAGGATGAGATCAAATAATGGTTGTGCAGTGATTTCACAGTGGAGGCTTGTATTTGTACTAAGTCAGTCCTAAAATAGGTTTGACGTATAAAACGTTAGGTACTTGATATAATAGGTATAACGCAGAGTAATCTAGTTGTGGGCACTGATACTTTAGTATTCGACTAATGGTCGTCCAGCATCAATTGACTGAAGCACTTTATCCCATAAATATAGCACATCTTAAAAGTATATTTTTATATATATATATATATATATATATATATATATATATATTATTTAAAATTTGCTATATTTATGTGGGTTCACAATCTTAGAGACAGACTGTAGATAAAGGCATGTGGTCACAGGAATCAATATTGCATGGTGACTGTCAGTTTCATATCTCATGTAATTTTCAAACCATGTGTCTTTACTCTTTTTGTTGGGTTTATATAGAGGCCACTGAAGGATTAGGTGTTCTTCCACATAGGGCTTATGCTTTAAGTTATTGATAGTCATGACATTTTTTTGCTTATTTTATTTATTTATTATTTTAAAATTTAATATTTTATTTAGTTATATATCACATTTATTTAGTTTGTGTTATGACATGCTTATATGAACACGTGACCAAGTGGTCAGAATGTTTACTTTCTTACCATGAAACCTGGATTAGAATCTCACTATGGTTAATTTGTCAAGGAGACTTCTGGAGAAGGTGATCCCAGTGCGTGGCATCTTTGGAAAGCACCTGAAAACCGTACCACAGTGACTCTTATACTATAATCGATCATTCCTAATGTAACCCATTGTATTACAGATATAAAAGGTGTTCCAATAACTTGGACTGATTTTAATGTGAATTAAGTTTAAGCATCTAATAATCTTTTCTTTTACTTTCAGATTTGGCGAACACTTGAGCTAGATTATTTTTCACACACAATTGCCATGACTTAAATAACATGAGCCAATAGAGAAATAAATAAATTTTCACCAATAACACTGATTTCTTTACTGCTGACTTTGATCCGTCTTAATGAAACACCCTTACATATAATCCATCTTAATGAAACACGCTTTATACAGCTTATTGAATTCTGATAGATTAATTATAGATAGATATATAGATTTAAGAAAATTAGTAATAATAGGATAATTTATACATCTCTATAGTTTTAGTGATTAGTAATAAGTAATTAAGCAGGTGTTAAATTATTATGTTTTCAAACATTGGGATTCAGCAAAAATAGACTAAAATGTCATTAGACTCTTTACTGCTGTAAACTAGAACCTGGCAAATTGGTAATTTACTTGCTGACATGGCTGGCCCCACTAAGGTTAATTATTTGCTATACATAGCTTCAAAAGTGTCACCCCTGACTACAGATAATTACTTGAGTGCAATTTGTTGCATCTGGTTAATTAATAATGCCTGAACTTTGATCCAGGTGAACCAGCATCTGCTACACTTTAACTCACCTCACTCTTCCTTTCTTAATTTCTCTTACCAATTTTTTTCTTTGTTTTCCACTGGAAAAAAGAAAGATACTTCTAGCTATAACTTCTCTCTAATAATAAATATCCTCTTTATCTGTTCTTTTGTGAAAGAATAATAAAAGCAAGCAGAAGAGAGAAAGGAATAAAGGGAGAATGGAAAGATAAAGGCTGAATAAATGCACAGAAAAGAGAAAAAGGAATAAAGGGTGAATGAAAAGAGAAAAGCTGAATAAATGCGCAGGGAAGAGAGAAAGGAATAAGGAGAAAATGGAAAGAGAAAAGTAGAATAAATGCACAGAAAAGAGAAAAAGTAATAAAGGGTGAATGGAAAGATAAAGGCTGAATACTTGTGCAGGGAAGAGAAAAAGAAATAAAGAGAGAATGAAAAGAGAAAAGCTGAATAAATGTGCAGGGAAAATAGAAAAGAATAAAAAGAGGATGGAATGAGAAAGGCAGAATAAATGTGCAGGAAGAGTGAAAAAGGAATAAAGGGTGAATGGGAAGAGAAAGGCTGAATAAATACACAGGAAGGAGAGAAAGGGAGAATGTAAAGAGAAAGACTGAATAAATATATAATGAAGAGAGAAAGGAATAAAGAGGAAGTGAAAGGCTGAATAATAACACAAGGAATAAAGAAAGAAAAAAAAGAGAAAATAGAAAGAGAAAGGGTGAATAAAACCACAAAGAAAAATAGAAAGGAATAAACAGGAAATGAAAAGAGAAAGGAATAAAGAGAAAATGGAATGAGAAAGACTGAATTAAAGCACAGGGAAGAGAAAAATAATTAAAGGTTAAAATCTTCGGGAAGAAAGATGAAGAAAAAACTGAAGTAATAATACACAGAGATGATAACCATTCAGTTCTTTCTTACTGAAAACATCTGATTCTTAGATATTCCTGTATGATTTGAACCTTGCATACTTACTTCCTTGACCATTGTTATTAAATGGCTTTATTGTTGGTTTTAAAAGCTTTGCTCTCTTCTGAATTACCTCTTCATTTATCTATTGCTCTGCCACTACTGAACCAGAAAAGTGGGTTGTATCAAAAAGGCAAATACTTCTGCATTGTTAATCCTCTTAATATGAGGATATGACCTCTCAGTTCAAAACATGATCAAAAAACAAGGCAGATTTATCAATATAGGAAAAAACCAAGCCATCATGGAAAATGAATCCTTTTTATCGATAGTTTCAAATAAATCATTTAGTGAAGCTAAAATTTCAAATAAATCATTATTGTAGTTGCAATAAATCAATAATATTTACTAGATAATTGATAGTTTCATTTCATATTTCTCTTTTTATTGGGAAAGAAATTTCATTAGCGACAAAAACTAATTAAAAATGTATGTAATTTGTTGGGGATATAAAATTTTATTATGGCTTTATAAAAATGAACATTTTAAAATGTATATATTTATATAATATATGCAAATAAATTAAAACATAGGAGAGGAATAGCAAGGGAAAAAATTACAAAAAAAAATTATAAAATGGTGAATCAAAAATATAACAAAAAACAACACAAAAGGAATAAACTATTATTGCTCCTCACTCTTCAGAGCTCAACTGAGGACAAAATATATAAATATGAGCACAACAGCTAAAATCAAGGACAAGAAAAAATGTTACCAGAAAACCAACACTATCAGTCACATAATGAAATCAATAATGTTTATTTGATAATTGATAGCTTTTGTCATATTTCTCTTTTTATTGGGAAAGAAATTTCTTTAGTGGATAGTTTCTACAAGGAATAATTAAAAGTATATATCGTTTATTGGGATGTAAAATTTTATTATGTTTTTAAAAAACAGACATTTTAAAAAGTATCTATTTATATAAAACAAACAAATTAAACATGGGAGAGCAAGGAAAAGAAAAATACTATTCATTGTAAAATGGTAAACCAAAACATATAAGAAAAAATACAACAAAACAAAGCTATTATTGCTCATCACTCTTCAGTGCTCAATTGAGGACAAAACATATAAATATGAGCACAACAACTAAATTCAAGCAGGAGAAAAAATATTACTAAAGAATCAGCACAATGAGTCACAAAATAATTAGATTAAGGCCTAGGTTAAAATGTCTTACAAATGTTTTTTTAAATTTAAAGCAGATATTTTTCTAGACTATGTATTCATAACGAAAAGAAATATTTGTTTCAGATGTGTAAATATTGGATAGAATTTATAGTCTGATCTGCTAATTAATGGCACAAGAGAAAAACTGTGTCTTCTCTAAGTAAAATTATTATACAAACAACTTAGCACTTTTTAATGCTTATAAAATTATTTAACAAATGTTCTTTAATGCATACTGTCGTAAAAGTCACATAGCTATTTAGAAATGTCATGACATGCCAGATTTTTTCATACTTTTGATTTCTATATTGTATTTTTTTAATTTTCTTTTTCAGAACTTAATTTAGAGAAATTACACATGAAAAAATTCTGATCTAAACAAAGATCTAAAATGGTACAATTTTACTTTGTATTTAAGCAAACATTTGGCCACCAGATAATTTTACAAAATTCTATAATTTCATGGCCACCATATTCACCTGATCTGACATGTATTGATTATACTCTTTGGGGATATCTTAAGGAGCATGTATGCATCAATAATCTGTAGATAATTGAACAATTCAAGGATAACATCTGCACAGAAATTCAAGTGTGACAGCCAGAGTTATTAACCATTGTTATGAAGAATGATATTGAAAGGTTGCATCCTGTGTGAAGTAAAAAATGGAGGATACATCTTATATATAAAGTACAGTATATGTGTGTTTGTGCATGTGTGTGACCACGCAGTTCCTCCATTCCCACTGGTCTGATTTTAATGATTCATAGCTCATTCAAAAGCCCTAGAAAATTTATGCGCAGGGAACAATTTACGTTGAACTCAGATTCAGGGTTGCCAGATTATACGAGGTTAAAAATATATATCAATATATTATACTAGCCATTATTGTTGCTTTCATGGTTCAAAGCGAGTAACTCTTATTTTCCTTTTGTATAAAAAATTTCAGCTATCAGGCATCAGTAAACTGCAGAAGAACTCAAAATTGATTGCTGCATTTAAGTACTGAATTAAAGTTTACTTTTTAAAAGTTCAACGATAATTCTTCTGCTGCCACTTAATTTAAAGATGATTTGATGTACGTAGATCCTTATTTTCCGTAAAAACAATTATTTTTATTTCATGGGTGACAGAACAGGGGACAATTTATAAGATAAAATTAAAATAGTGTAAAGATGGGTAAACAAAAATTAGAATTAGTTATACATTCAACATTTGAGGAGTTAGAGAATCATAATACCTAATTAAGTAAAACCTATATTATGGAATCTATATGAATAAATATGAAATTGGAGCTCAATTCTCTCATGAATTTTGAGATTAAAAAGCCCCAGCTCTACTTTATAGTAATTTGGTATTTACTCGACCAGGTTGTGATACAAGGTCGGTTTAATGTGAGGAGCCTGAGCACATACACCCAGGCTAGGAACAAAAATTACACAAGCCCCCAAAACCGTCATTTGCACTGGCCTTGGTGCAAGCACCGATCACTCTCTCTGGTGCAATGAGAGGGCATGGCCTCAGGCAGTTGTTCCCCAAGGCTGGGCACCTCTCAGTATAATTTCCCTCAGTTGCGACTCTGTCCTTTGAAGGAGCCATCCCTGAGCGCACTCTGCCCAAAGACATAGATGCAACTGAGAGATGATAAATAAACGTGTTAAAAACTACTTTATATAATAATTTACACACTAAATCCTCAATATCTATCATATATTTTCTACTTCTAGGCAATATCACTATTCTGGTTTAACTAATTTGCATAATGATTTTAAAAAAGTTTCTTTCATCAATTGACTGTCTTTCATTATTGTTCTTTTATTCAAGGATTGTTTTGATTTTCATATAAAAAATAATTCCGTTTAGGAATATCATCTTATATAGTGCAGAAAAGTGTTTGAGATTTGCATTTTATTTGGCTTTCAACAAGTTGGCATCTATTTGTAAAACTTTCCTTAACTATAAAAAGCCAATTTATGAATGAAATGTTCATTTAAAATTTTTGTTTCAATATAAGTGAGCTGACGGGAAATTTATAGAAATGCAAAATGGCATTAAATGTTTGCACTTCAATACATTGCTGCTACACTGGTAATAAATTTTGTTAAGTGTTGGTTGATTTTGATATAGAGGATCTTGAGAATTTGAAGTTTTTGTTTATTATTTTCATCCTGTAATATACTGGTATTGTCAACAAGTATTTTCCTGTATTGTCAAGGTGGGCAGGAATGTGACTTTAAATGTTGTATGATAGGTCTTGTATCTAACATATGGAGGTAAGACATTTTGATAATGTTGCGGTCATCAAACCAATATATGTACATATATTTTTGTCAGAGATACAATCTACCAAAAGACTTTTAAACTGATATATAATGTTGATCTTTTCCAAAACACTAGCTGATGGAGAAGGGTTACTGCTTATGATTAAGTTAGTTGGGTTAAATATAGTATAATATATAATTAGTTTTATTTTTTAATGGGATCAGTGACGAATATATTAGTGAGTGAGTCAGTAGTTCATTTTTGAAGGACTGCTCAGTTGAACTCTTCCCACGGACGGGAGGAACCGAAGGAGGCTCCGCCAAAGGGTGGAGTCTCCCCGAGGTAACTGGGCCCTGAACCCCGGGTTCAATGGGCATAAAGCCACGGGCTCGGAATGCCCACGTTAAAAAGGCCTTGTGCCACATGACACCCTCGTGGGGGGTGGTGACTCAATATCATGAGGAATATATTAGTACTTGTGAGATTTTTTCGGACATTTTCATTTTGTTTATTGTTAGAACACATTTGATTATGGTATTGCATGTTGATATTTTTAAGGTTATTTGAGAAAGTATTATGTTCTTTTTTATTTATGTTATTGTTAGTATTTCTAATGGCTTGTCTAATTTCTCCATCAATGATGTAATTAAGAAACTTATTATTCATGTGAGTTTGTTTAATGTTATTTAATTCAGTGTAGAAAATTATTTTCTGTGGAGGAGTTACCTTTTGCACAGTGTATCAAATTTTGAACAAACGTATTTTGTAATAGTATGAAAATAAATAGACAGAAACCTGTTTGAATGAAGATATATATATATTAGATAGGAAAAGATAATAAGAAGGCATTTTTAAAAGCAAAAGCCAAAATAAAACTACCGGTTTCGTCCCAGGACTTATCAAGTTATTTATTCTGGGAATTTAAAAGCGTGTAAATTAATTTTAATTCACATGTGTAATTAAATGGGGAGAGAGAAAAAAAAAATAAAAAAATTATGAATTTCAAGGGACTAGAGTCCAATAATATTCAGACCCAGCAAGCATTCCCTCTGTTTACAAAGGGAAGGCTCACGAGATCTGATATACAAGGACTCCAGGACCTTGAGGTGAAATGTAGAGTGGGACCTTGATAAAATAATAAATCGGTCACCACTAAAATTTTCCACACATTCCCTTCTATTTATCAAGTGTTCAGCAATGGCAGAACCAGAACTGTTAGTCAATTGGCTATTCCTAGAGGATAGATTCAAAATCCTAGAGGGTAAATGCTGTTTTATTCTTGAATCCAAATGCTGGGACGTCCTACCTATGTAGTCACATTCACAACTACACTTGTATTGGTAAATCACTGAATTAACATGATGGGGAGGTAGGACATCCTTATGAATGGAAGAGAAA